TAAAAGGCAGCTTCATTCAGCTTCACAAGATCCCTCTGGAGAAGCATAACGAGAAAGAGGTACTGGAACCTTTTACTTTCCTAACAGCCACTGCCAGTTATCTGGAAAATACTACCAGATACACCATACACTTAATGATTTAAGTCAATGACGACCTTAAAAGACTTGATATTTGGTCTGTGTCTAGCTTTTGATCTTTTAAGGCTAATTCTGCTTGCAGTGTCCTATATGCAATTTAAAGTATGCTCTCTTTGGAGTTAACTATACAAACCCTGGACTCTTTCACACGTGCATACAAGATTTTATTCACTTACGGGTAACAGGTGCAGCCACATTAACCGTCTCCTTGTCTTTTAGAGCACACAATATTTATGCAAGAAGCTTTACAAAGCGACAATCAGCCCTCCTACCACGATGTAACAGTGTGACACAAACTATGCTCAGCTTCATCAACCTGCAACAGGGATCACAAGAGCACAGGCAGAAATGCACCATCATCAGGAATTTCAGTCACCTGCTGACACACTGCCTTCTCTGCAAAGGGTGAGGCTAACCCTGCTACACCGAGGAGGAAGCTCCCAACTGCCTGTGCTGCGCTGCAAGGTGCCACAGGGAGCCAGGCAGAGCGGTGCTCGGCACAGCACGGTGACCTCCAAAGGACCTGCTGCTCTCCTTGCTGGCTCCTGCTCCTCAGCATGCTGATGACTGCAACTGCGCCGAGGGACACTGCACCAAGCACAGGCCAACAGCAGGGCACTGCCTTGGAGAGCAGAAAGGAGGATCAGAGCTCAAAGGCTTCCCAAGGCGTCTGGACAGGCTGAAACCCAAAGGTGCATTTGCAGTTTGTGTACAACAGGCAGGTGCTGTGCACTGCAGCCGTAATTGCGACAGAGTTCAGGAACAGCTAAAAATCATACCCATCACACGAGCTGACTGCATGATCAGCTGCCACCAGTTATGATCTGTGCAGGGCAACAAGGATATGTCCTGGTAAGATCAGTTCCCTTCACGGGTGATGCACAAGATGCACAGCTAACATATGGTCCCTGCAAGGGACCGCTGCCTGCCTCTACCTGAGCACTGCGCCAGCACAGTAGGAACAGAAATGGCTCTGCACGTACACTGGTGCACACTCCCGCAGCTTGACTTTGGCAACATTTATTCTGGTCCCCCATCTGAGCGTCCCCCCATGAAGCACGTCACTTAAAGCCATCCAAAAGGCCAGACGCTGGTACAGACCATTATATCTCCTACCACACACCAGCAAGCATTTCATTCACAGGTGGAATAAAGCTTGCAGCTTAACATTCTCCAAAATAAATCTAGTTAACCTGCACCAAAAATATTTTACAAAGAGAACCTGCATGCAGTAAGTGGGGACAGTCAGGGGATTTACAAAACCCTGCCACTGCTCTGAACTAAAGTCTTAATGTAGATGGGACAGAGCAAAGCAACAGTCAGGTTTGTTTCTCTTCACACGCGCACACACACACTGGTACATCACTCAGATACTCGGTACCCCCTGCTATGTGCTACCTTGAAAGCTGAAGAAAGTTTAAGGAAAACACAGGTGGTGACTCAGAGCAGCTGCAAAAGAGAGCTATCACATCCCCTAGAATTAAACAATGACAATCCCGTAACACTTCAAGAGGCCTTAACCTTTATCTCCTCTTTGATTGTTTAATTATTGCTCTCTGCCTTTTTAAGAATTACTTATTATCAGAAAACAAGAGCTTTCAGTTACGTGTAGGAATTCTGATTTGGTTAAACAAACTACAATACTTTTCCAATTTTTCATCCCCAATAAAAAAATAAAAGTCTCTCTCCACCGCCAAGGCAGCAGTGCCACTGGCAGAGGTGTGTGGGGACCATGAAGTGCACTGGCACTACGGCAAGGCTACAGCCCAGAAAAGCCTGAAGGCCAGCTCCTGCTGTGGCCCAGAGCAGCAGCGGTGACCTGACCAGCAGCTAGCCCTCCCACAAGAGACTTGCTGCCTTCTCACTGCAGCTACTGTTTTGAGAGACAGACTTGTTTGGTTTTTGGGTTCATTTGTTTGTTTTTAAAAAAAAGTTTCATTTAGGTATTTTGTGTTCAGTAGGTACTCTGGACTTGAAAAAACACACCACAGACTTTTTTTCCTATTACTTCTCTATCAGAAAAAGTGGACTAGGCCACTTAAAAACAGTTTTAAGAATGTAAGAGACCTGAATGGCTTGTAATAGTAGGTTAAATTAGACTGCTAAAGCTCTTATCTCCAGCCACATGCCCCTCTTTTCTGACAGTTGTGTCGGGGCAAGAACATCACTTTCGTTCTTGAGATGGCTCCTGAAGCATCACCATTTCCAGCCCAACACAGAAATGTGAACCAGCTCTGCTTCTGCCTTACCCCAACACACCAGGGTAAAAGCTGCAGAAAATAAACTAGCAAAGGCTCCTTCCTGCTTTAGAGATGCAGCAATAGCTGAAAACAGTCACAGCACTAGCTATCCAATTTTCATCTGCCAGAGTAAAGCAACAGTTATGAATTTGCTTTAACTATTCAGTAAAAACAAACTGGTTCCCCAATAATTTACCTACAATACATACCACTGGGATTATGCATAACAGTCTAAAACAAATTACATGGCACAAGATGAACACACTGACTTTGTCTCTCTCACATTCAATCAAATCCCACACTTAGAACATCGTAAGAATTAACTGCCCGATAAAACTGAGTGGGAAGTAAACAATGTCCCTGTTGACAAACAACTACAAGGGTCCCCATCCCATACTCCGTACTAAGTATTTGCCAGCAGACACTCTACCTGTAGGTCTATTTCTAGGTCACTGTCAGTCTGGTCACTTACTGTTCTACCTTCTTGCATGATAAGATTTTGTGGTTCCAGAGTAAATTTAGAAAGTACATGGAAATATAATCTCAAAGGCTCCAAATATATATATCTGTGTAAATATATATCTCTGTATCTACACACACACATCCCTATATCAAAACACTGAAAAAAACCTACTACTTTCATTTTCTTCCACCCTATTTTAGAGAAAATAATCTGCTTTTGGGGACAGTTAATTTTTTACCCTGAAGACCAATCCACAGAGACAAAAAAAAAACAAATGTTGACACAGTGCCCAAATTTACCACGCAACAAAGACATTTTTCTTCTTACAGAACAAGAAAACATCAGTTTGGGAAATGAGGAGTTGAAATTCAATCCAGCCAGTAATGTTTTCCTGGAGAGAACGTGGCTGGCTGGACTTTGTTGAGCCACCACAGAGCTACCTTTAGTTCGCTTTTTCAGGATCTCTGTGAGGCCTGATGCTTTCTAAACACAGACACATAAATGTACACACAGGAAGAAGGAGTTAGAAGCAGCACTGCTATCGTCATCTCTGACGACACCTTGGAGAACACTAAGAAGTTCTCCAAAAACCAGTAACTAACAGACTTGTATCCTCCATCCATCACTACCCACATTTCCTTGTATTGTTACAGTGCCCTACACAGAGGCTTAAAATTGTCCTGAAGCACCACATAGACCTTGCAAAAAGGGCTCTAAGGATAGAAACTCTGGGATGCTCCTCACTCCCAAATTGTCATCAGAGAGCTCACCCTCCTATGCAAATTAAGCTACCCATGCAAGTGTCCTAACCAGTGCCGAGACTGGACCGAGCCAGGCCACTCCCAGGTTTCACGGGAGAATACAGATAATAGTGTACATTGTGATATACCCCCACTAGTGCATTCAGAGTGCGACGCAAGTGCTTGCTCTCATTCAGCTCAGACACATTTAAACTTGAACAGGGGAGGAAAAAAAAGATGAGGGAATTGGCACAGCACTCCGCATCCTACAGCCCAAAGCAGAGAATTGCCTGATGTTTTCTGAATTTGGGAAAAAAAGGCACTGCTAAGTCAAGACACTACTGACAGTCCAAAGAATTTAAAAATAAAAACAAAACAAAGCACCGCACCAAACAAAAAAACCCCAAACACCCAGACTTCCATGATCAATTTTCAGGCTAAAACAGATGAAATGTGGGCCTGGAAGTTTTTATGCAAAAAGTAAAGGCTGAACAAGGCCTTTTCAGAAGCAAATTGTTGAGCGTTGCAGGTCTCCCTACCTATTTATCACCCAGACAGAAGTGTCCATTATTAATGATCTCCAATTCAAGACCTATTTGTTTATGTATACATAAATAGAAGCGCAAATGACATGGTTTTCTGTGAAATTTTGTTTTGCCTGTCACTCACCATTGTGTTGCTGAACAGAGGGATTCTTGGATATCAGGTATCAAAGACCACATTGTGCACTGAAGTAATCAAACTTAATTACTAATCTGTGCAGCCAGGATTTCTGGAATCAATCCAGTCACCATCACTATTTCAGTCTGAAGTTCAGTACCTGATGGCCAGTAAGTGTACAGTAAGAATTCATACCCGAGTACCATACTGGATCTATATCAGCTCACACCATCTCCATTTGTTGGCCTATACACAGTTCTTCTCCGAGATTTAAAGGTATTTTTACCTGGCAAACCAAGGGAAGCAAACTCTCCATAAAAATACCAATACCATGACATTAAAGATAGAATAAAATATTAGCAGGCTCCTTGAAGCATAAACAGTATTCATTTGTTCTCCCTTCTTTCCATTTTAAGCCACACTTCAGTTAGAAGCTACAGATGTAATTTCCAAGATAGATGCTTAGTGGTACAGTAAAGGAAAAAACAGTGCACACTAACTCAAAAGAATAACAATTCCTGCAACCACAAAAGACTCATTTTGACAAGTTTGTGTCCGACAGTTCCCCTCACTACTACCCCAAGCTACTTTCATTGACTTCAAGGACATATTTCACTAAGCAACAACAAAAGATGCAATGCTTTAAAGCACCAAGACAACACTAGATCCCATTTGAAATTCACTGCTTAAAAACTGCCACTCATTGTATAGGGTTAACCAGATACCACAGAAATTACCGGAAAGCTCAGCAAACCTTACTTCTGGCAGAGGGTTGGCCGGTTTGGTTAGGATTCCTCCCACATAAACAACATTGGGTAGCGTGGGTCTTGGAAACTCCAGTGCTACATCAGTACAAAGCATCCAGAGGCTGGATCCATGAACCAAGTCATACATGGACCGTTCTGGGAGAACCTGGTATTTCTGCATTATCCTTTCATATTTTGGCAGAACCAAAAAACTGACTCCAAATCTTGAAATAACATAAACAACAGTATTTTTAATCCTCTCAAACAGGTTCATGCGATCTGTGAGCAGCGAGTTAAACTCTGGAACATAGGACAGGGGAGCTGGAGCACCCACTTCTGCTGGATACCAGAGGCCAGTAGAAAAGACGGCGTATTTAACCCCTAAAAGGTGAGCTATAACAAATCCACACATCTCATTGGGATCTACGAGGAGAAGGTCAAATTTTTCCTGTTTCAGGGCACGCATGAGGTTTCGGTTGCCAACAATCATGTCGCAGTTCTTGGAATAGTGGTCCAGAATATCGAATAGTTCGAGGGCTGTCAGTCTCCCAGAGAAGATACTCCTCATCTTGGACTGGAGAAAATCATCTGAGGTGCTGCTGTTAAAGATCCCTGGGTAGCGCTGAAGTCTATAGTGATTAGATGGAGGAATCTCTCTGCCCTCAGAGAGGAGAAACACTGTCTGGTGACCTTGGTCATGCAAGGCTGAGGCCAGAGTCTTGAAAATATAAAGATGGCTTTCAAACATAATTGGCGGCACAACAACAATTTTGGCAGCCCTCGCTATCCCGACAGCACTCCATAGGAGAATGAAAGCTGGTGCGTACGGCTTCATAGCTGAAATAAGAAATAAAAGCATTACATCAACAGAAGACAGATTTGTATGCTACCTGGGGATTTTTAAAAAAAGTTACTACATGGCATCACCAAGCATGTTCCATGCAAGCTAATCACATCTGCCTGTTTTGAAGATGTCTTTATGGTGGTTACAGGGAACAAGAGAGCCACACAGTTTTAGAGTGTATTCAGTAGTGACTGGTTTCCAGGGAGCCTTGACTTTTCCCCTCCCCACACTTTCCACCTGACATTAAAGGTAGACAAGAGACATCTTCCAACACAGATACAATATGGCACTAAATGGCAGGAAAACTCACTGAGGCAGTGAGGTTGGTACCCTCCACGGAGATACCACACGCACTGCTTTCAAATCATATATGCCATTCAACAGCTGTAAAATCTTCAAGTCAGCTCTGAAAGTTAGATTCTGCTACATTTGGGATTATATTTAAAAGCACAACTGCATTATTGCCATTGTAATACATTAAGTGAATAAGAAAGATGCTTAAGTTCAAAGACCCAAAGGCTAGAATCCCCTATTTATTCACCCAAAGGATGCACATGTGATTTTCAGTGCATAGGGTATGAGATGACTCTTTTACAAATACAATTCAGTCTTGCCTCCGCAACTGGAACTTCTAATATGTCCACTTAATTTTGTGGTTTGTGAAATCCACACTTCACACTACTGTTAACATGGTTACAGGCATTTCTACTGCAGGTCTTGTCTGACAGCCACCCACAGCTTTCAAGCTGTCCTCCTTCTAGATGCAACTTTCTATTCTGATTTAAGGATAACATTTTTCTGCCACTTTGTCTTCACATAAACCAATGGGAACAGGGAACAATTTTTTTTTTTTTTTCCTCCTAAAAGGACATGCAAACTCACACAATGCTTTTCTTTAGTATCAACACTGATCAGACATATGGGGGTGCAAAGTCAAAATCTGGCAGGAAGATGCCACTATTGAATAAGAACCAACTTAACTACTTTGAGCTTTCAAAAATTACACTTCGCGTATGACAAGTGAAATAAAGGGACTTAGTACTACATACGTGAACATCGCAACTTCCACTGAAGCACTTTTACAAGTGCTCAATTCTGAATCTTCTTAAACTTGACCAGACACTTGAGCACAAACTCTATCCCACACTGAAAACACTGCTGTCCTGAACACACGCAGTTCCTCATAGCAGAGGCTGACGGGGGAAAATATTTTTTCCCTGTGTTTTGTTGAGTAAAGCCTGTAAGATTCTGTACACACCAAATGAATGCAAAGTGCATTAGAAGCAGGGACAGGGCATGTCAGAAAGCTCCTCGGTCACTTCAGCCCTCCTAGGACAGAGGAAAAAAAAGTGCAAGCCAAACCAACCAATCTGCTCTTTTCTTGAGACAAACCAAATCCATGTAGAAGCTCAAGTTTGTTGCAGTGTCCTTTATAAGTAAGCACAATAGAAAAAAATAACGCTGCTACTCAGTCCTTGTTATCTCCTTACAGTGTAGTCTAACAATCCCCCTACAACAGAATGCTCAGGACTTTTTCTAGATTTTTTTTTTTGTTGTTGTTACATGGGTTACCAGCTCACTAACAGAGCATCTCACATTTGTATTGCTGCAATATGATACTGAGCCTTCTGAAAGACGCCCCAATTTCCTACTACTCCAGCTTCCACAAGTGATTTGACTTTGACACATTCAAAAGAATGAACCGCCTCCAAGCACAGTTGGAAAACTACCACAAGGTACGCTGACTATTTAATCAAGTTTCTCACGTGGAAAGTTTTTTTTCTTTTACACCACTTGAAACCTCCTCCACACTTGCCTTCAGAAGGTGTTAGCCACTGCCTAATTACTGATCATCACTTAAAGAACTCTACCAATTTCAAATTATCCCCAGCAGCAGTGTGTGCAAACACACACACATGCACAAAACACTTCACTCAGGCACAGGCGTGGGGTTTTGTGTGTAGGTTTCTTCTTCCTAAGACAAAGCCTGCAGCACAAAGGCGCACAGGAAAACGTCACAGTACCCATGTGCAGGTAGCGAGGAACCCCCGAGAATTTATTGAGATCTCTACAGTACCACCGCAGCACAAAGACGCACAGGAAAACGTCACAGTACCCACGTGCAGGTAGTGAGGAACTGAATCCCAGAGAATTTATTGAGATCTCTACAGTACCA